GAGACAAAAAAAAAAAAACAAAAAAAAAAACACACAAATCCACAGTCAACATCTTGATTTAACAACCTCACTCTATCTAATTTTCCAGTTGCCTTCACAACATAGATCCCTAAACTACTTCAGAGAAGGTCATTAATGCTCAGTTACTGTAGATTTTTAAAAGAACCATAATATCAGTTAAGTAATTTTGGGACCATTTGTTTATTTGTCCTTGCAATAAATGTATTTTTAACCTCAATCATATTCTTGCCTCCACGCCTTTTATAAAAAAAAAAATAAAAAAAATAAAAATATGAGAAAATAAATACTGGTTGTATTTTAGATATAGTACTTTTACTGCATTTCTGATGACTAACTTGTATAATGAAAGAAGAAATTGTAGGAAAAGCCAAAATATTTAATTAAATAAACTAATAAAGGTGGGAAAGTGACACAATTTTATTCAGTTTATTGTAATATGCATGGAGGTTAGGTGGCATACGCCTTTGATATATATGTTTATACGTACAGTCAGCTCCTACAGGCTTCTTCTTTCACACACTGCAAAATTTTTCATTGTTTAGGTGCTCTAAGAGCTAGTTCACATCTTGTACAGAAACTGGTATTTCTCCTTTTGGGCATGGATAATGGAGATAACTGTCCCAAAAACAGTGAAAATACATCAACACTGCACAATGAGGTCCAGAAATCGTTAAAAAAAAAGGAGATAAGAAAATCACAGAAAGGGAATAAAATAGATTGTTTTCTTTGGGGTAGAAATGCTGACCCAAAGATGTTAAATCCTCAGACTGAAAAATGAAAGAAGAATGTGGAAAGTTTAAAGGACAGAAATCATCTTCAAAAATCACACAGCTTGGAGAGAATGCTTAGCAAAATGTCTCAGCTCCAAAAAATCAGGAGACGTAACTAGGATTGGCAAGAGTAACTACTTTTGTTTAAACTTGGACATTGGAAAGCAAGAAGTTGTAAAGAGCAGACTTAGCTGAAGAGATTAATTTTAATACTTGTACATTGCCTGAGAGAAAGCTGCTTCTACACGCATTTGTCTGACGTCTATTCTTCTTGTTTTGACTGGAGAGGACATGGGTTATAACTTGCTCTGTAAATAGAGTTCGGCATTGCAGCAACACAGACAGGTATTTATGTATTGTTTGTTCACACATCAAACACTGCTCACAACAAAACCAAAAAGGGGAAAACACAAAATGGCAGTTGGTGAGACAGGCCCTGTTATTACAGCTAAAGATGCAAAACAGCTCTCACTCTGCACAGAAAAGGTTCACAGGTTTTGAAGGCACACATTTACAAGCTCACTAGACATAGTAAGAATTTTCCTATCTGAAACTACTTGAATAGCCCACATTTGCAGGGATCTCATTCAAATCCTTCCATCAGCTTCTTCCCTGTTATCAAACAGCAACAATGAAATAAATTGCTTCACTAGTAATAGAAAAAACACGTAATGAAAAAAAAAAGCAAAGGCTTGACTTATAAGAGCAGAACATTATGAATATATAGAAGTACCCATATTATTAATTGTAAGGCTCATAAAACTGCACAAATATCTTAATTATATCACCTCCCCATATTATATAATAAAACAGCATAATGTCAATTAACAGCTTCATTTTAACTTGACAAGGCTGAACAACACTCCTATACTTAAAAATCTTTTTATAAAATCACATTCCCTCCTAAGAGTTGACTTGCAAGCACTCTAAAAACATTCTGTACAAAATTAAAAATAAACTTCCTCATTTTCCTACCACTGTTGTTCATCACTACCACAGTATCTGCAAGACTTTATTTATAAAATAAATCAGCTTATACAAGCATCTTCTTCTTGTGTCAATGGGTGCAATGCCATTTGCATCATTCCTAAAGGCTGAGTGTTCGTTCTAGTTCTCTCAACTTCTTAATTAATTTGTTGCAGTATTCAGTTCTGGGACAGTAGAACAAGATTTAAATATCCAGCTTTTGATAAGGAAATACTACAAAGAATGAGCTTGCTTTGCCATATATTTAATAAGGAAATACTACAAAGAATGAACTCTCTCTGCCAATGTGTCATAAAACATCAAATTTTTGTTATCAGTTGCACTGTGGAGATACATGCAATTACTGAAACTATTTACTGAAAACAAGCTTGCTAATTCTGTAACTGTCAGTGACATGCTGTGCTGGGTGCTAGCTGGTGCCAAGGCAGCTGCCATAAGCTCCAAGTCCAAAAAGGGGAAAGGAGAGGATTAAAGTATTATTCCTGTTTCCAAGAATAAAGTACTGTAAATGAGCTAGTCACTTGCTAGGTAATAATTTTCTGGTGTTTATATGGCAAACCTGCAAAGTGAATTGCTGTTGGCATCACCAGAGTTTACAAAGCTTAGGTACTGCCAAAATGCAGCTTCACTAGAAGAACTGTTCAAGTAAACATGGAATGGAAAGTCATTAAGTAAAATGAACAACAGCTAATTTCATTGTGATCGTATCAGGAACACGAAGTGTTTTTCTTTAAATTTTGTAATCTGAGGTACAAAAGAACACACAGTGATCATGGGAAAATTAACAGCACATAGAACAAAATCCTGGCTATAGTTCATGTAGGAATGGAGTAACTTTTGCCAACTCAAAAGAATAACATGTCTCCTGTGCACACTGTTTTCACTAATACTGTCAAAGGAATGTATCTTAAGGCTAGGCATACATGAGCACATCTGCATTTAGTGCCCAAAATCACATTCCTTTACTTTTCTTTTCTTTAGCAGATAAAACAGGGAAACCAAGTTTTCTTAATTAAAATAGCTCATATTTGGTTTTCTTTCTACCCAAAAATCTACTTCTGTAGCTAGGACAGCATCAGCCAGCACACATCTGCACAGTAAGTTAGCAGACGATATTCAGCATTTCCAAGGAAGTTCTCAATTGCTACATCACGTCAAAAGGGGATTCTCTCCCCACTTATATATATTTCATAAACACTGGAATCTGTCATAGAAAGAAAAGTTCACAGGTTCACCGTTTGGTCACAGATGCTCACAAGCTATTTTGTAACCAGATTTTTCTTCCCCACAAATGCAGCCCACAGGAATCACAAAACTGATTTTTTTTTCTCTTTCACCTCACTGGTGTTCAGAACCTCTAGAAGAATCCTGTGAACCTGCACGTTTCTAACAAAAAAGAGTGAGTTTTTTGGGGAGAGAAAAATATAAATTTAATAATTAGATGCATTTAATGAAAAACATCTTCCCTCAATTTAATTCTATTGTCCTATGTAAGCACAACAAAATAAGGGACCAAAGAAGCTACCAAAGTAACAGTATATAACTACAAATATTTTAGTATTTTTACTGAAAGATTGAGGGGAGGGGGAAAACACAGCTATGCAAAGCATACACTTTCAGTATATTTCTACCGTTTCTACTAACATAATGGCTTAAACCTATTTGGTGATTTAATTCTGCAATACATTTCATTCTGCTAGCCTTGACTTTTGCTTCTCTGTGATACAGATAATAGTTTCTTCGTGCAGACATTTTCAGGAATTAAAAATGTAGCACTTAATGACTAAAACTCATAATTCATCAGTCAGCATGAACATGTCTTTTCCTTTGAGAAACATTACTCATGTAAAGAACTTTCCTAATTTAAATACTAATTTATGTTCAGATTTCAATTAAAGCAGCATCTGTTTGAGCTACTGCTGAAGAAAGAGGATGTACTGCAATGATCTACATTGTACTATTCAAAAATACTATAAAATAACACGTGTCCGTTTGTAGTTTGGTGCATTTCCAGTAGGTATTCACTTAACTACCATAACTGTTAAATATTAAGGAACTATTAGAGGTCATCAAAATACGTTATAAATTAGGCATAATTTATAATAATAATTATAAATAAACTACTTAAACATTAACTTTTCCCTGCACTCTCAACAACTATACAAATATCCAAAGCACATTCACATATATAGAGAACCTTTGCTGACATAAACTCATTTTAGGCATCATTCAACTTCTTTTTTGTAGTCTCATGCAGTCTTCTCAGGGTTACCAAAGTGAGGTTTCTGCTGCCAGTCCATTTCCATTATTTTTTCCATATCCCAAAGTTTTCTAAGGGACTTCTACTGACAACAAGGCACTCAGCCTGCTTTTATAGGTATTCAACAAGCCTTGTTTCTAATATATGTCAGACAATATTTCATTTCTCCCCTGAACACAAGATAGCTTATGCAAAAAGTTCAAGAGGAAAAACAAAATAGGACTATGACTCTACCCTAGAATGCTGCAAGTGGCTCCCTAATCTTAATATCTGGGCACTTCAAGCTGACCAGACACATATGAGGGCAACAAGATGTCCTGTTTTGATATTTTGTCATTCCCTAGCAAGAGTGCTAGTTTCTATGGCTGAGGCTGAATAGAGAGACCTGTTAGAAAGACTCTACAGAACACTATATCAATCAGATGTAAGGCCAGAGCCAGAAAATTCATTACTAAACATGTATTTTACATCACTTTTCATATAGTACACTGCAAAATGCTTCAAAATTAAAGAATAGAGCTCATCTGTGCCAAAACACATCTCAAAGGGAGTAATTAGATTGGACATATTCCTTTCTTTGCTTCTTATTGTTATGCTTACTATCTCACAATGCAATAATACTGCACAGTTATTCTTAAACTCAAAATTAAAGGATTTTCCTGGTTTCTGTGAAGTACCTTTTTTAAAACTCAATCACAAAAATAGTACTGTGAGAACTCTAAATTTGTTAACACAAAATATCCTTTAATTTATTTCTAGCCAAGCAAGTGTTTTAATATTTATTTTTCTTCTTAATTGTTCTTTAGTCAGTCAGTACACCAACTTTTTCTCCAGAGATCTAGTTAGTACAGGAAACAGAATAAAACCTTGATCAGAGGACACAAGAAAATCACCTCAAATGAACAGTGGGCCTAAGGGACTGACTATAATTCTTTCTAGAGGGGATGGGGAACAGAACTTACCCTGCTGACTTCTTTAGGAGTCGATTCATCTGTGAGGAAACAAAGCAAACAGTTAGGCACATCTGAAAGTTTCTGCACTGAATGAACAAGATATTGTGATTCAAATAACTGTTGCACTACTGTACAAAAAATTTGTAATATAGTTCTGTAAAGATCATTTAGACTGGAGTGTATTTGAAGTCTTGAATTCCAAGACATAGAAATTTATTATAATTAGGATAAAGTATTCAACTCTTCTGTCCTGTCTTACTAAGAATACAAAGTTTCCTGCAGTCCATAATTCAGTTCACAGGTCAACTGAACAAAAGGGTCATGTGTAATTCTCTTACATCTATATTCCAATTCATTGAGACAACTGATACCATTTCACATCTTGAAAAGTAAAGGCTCTTTACTACCAAAGATACACCAGTGATGCCCTACATATATAAGCAAATCAGTGAGTAAGCTGAGATTTCCTGCTCAGAAGTATTCCTGTTGAATACTCTGGATGTGGAAGAAAAATCTTTTAATCATAAGACTATGAGAATATCACTGCGGTCACTTCATAATGCCTTAAAAACACAGAGGTTACAGACATATCTATGCTACCATGTATTTTGTTTCAAATGCAGGCTGTCACACATTTGTGCAATTTAAATATACGCTGATAATCACAGATGCAAAAACAGAGCTTGAGCTAAAAGACTGCATACTATTTATACAAGAATGCATTTACCACAGGAAGTTTCAGCTTCTAGTTCAACCACACCAAAAGCAGCTTAAACTCATCCTTACCCTCCAGTTGTTTATGCCTTTTTGAAAATACAAAGAGACCTATTTGTATACTTTTCCTTTGATAGTAGAAATGGAATTAGTAAGTTTTGCAAATTAATTTTAAGTCATCAAACAGATTTAATCTTACAGAGAAAGATAATATGTTTATTTTTGTTGGCCTTATTTATGCATATTTGGATACTTCTCTAGAGAAGATATATCTCTGTTAAATACAGACATAATACCATCTAAGCTACTTAGTATCAGCTATATTTTTTCCAAAATGAACTCCAAGTGAGGAGTATTTGGGAAGAGCACATTTACATGTGTAAAAAACATTACTCATATTTTTGGAGATCCTCAACAGTGCAGTTTCATGGGCTGAGCAGAATTTTACAAATGTAAAATACCCAACATTATGCCTCCCATACATACATAATGCTGCACTTTTGCTTGTATAATACAAGACACACCCATGTGCAACTCATGCCCTGCAACTAATGGTTAATTACTTTACTACAAAGAAAAAATGTAATTAAGAAGTTACGTAAAAGTAACATACCACCATAAATGTATGTATTTTGCTGGATACAACGTGCAAAAAATGTAAAGATGGTCATTATGTCAAAAAAAAAAGTCTATTTCATTCTGTGAAGAAATTAAAACAGTCACACAGATCAGAAAAGAAAATGTAATACCCATGATACTCAGTAAGGATAAACCTCATGGAAGAATTACCAGAGACAATATTTTTTCAGAATCAAAAAGATAAAATTGATATACCATTCTCTCTCTTCCAGAAGAAATATAAAAAGTGTTTGGGATGTTCAGTTTTAGAGTCATAGAATTATACAATTATCAAGGTTGGAAAAGACCTCCAAGATCATCTAGTCCAACCATCCAGCTCACCACAACCTCCCTACAAGCATTTGTAAGGTTTCCTGAGATTTCTCTCCAGACTAAACAATCCCAGTTCCCTCAGCCACTCCTCATAAGAGTTCTGCTCCAGAGCCCTCACCAGCTTCATTGCCCTCCTCTGGACACAGCCTAGGGCCTCCATGTCTTTCTTGTAGTGAGGAGCCTAAAACTGAACACATACTCAAGGTATGGCCTCACCACAGCTGAGCACAGAAAGATGATCACCTCCCTGCTCCTGCTGGCAACACAAGCCAGGATGCCACTGTCCTTCTTGGCTTCCTGGGCACACTGCTGGCTCATGTTTAGCTGAGTGTCCGCCTACACCCCAAGGTCCATTTTTTCCACAAAGTCTTCCAGTCTCTATGCTCCAATCCTGTAGTAATGCCTGGGGCTGTTGTGGTCAAAATGTAGCAGACAGCACTTGGTCTTGTTCAACTTCATCCCAATGGCCTTAGTCCAGCCATTCAACCTGTCCAGATCCCTCTGTAGATCTTTGCTACCCCCATGCAGATTGACACTGCCTGCCAACTTGGTGTCATCTGCAAACTTACTGAGGGTGCACTCAATCCACTTGCCCAGGTCATTAACAGAAACTAAAGAGGACAGGCCCCAGTACGGACCCCTGGGGAACACCACTCATGACTGGTCATCTGTTGGATTTAACTGTTCACCACCGCTCTTTGGGCCCTGCAAAGGGTGTACCTGTCCAAGCTACGAGCTGCCAGTTTCTCCAGGAGAATACTGTGGAAGACAGCGTCAAAGGCTTTTCTCAATAGACCGCATCAACAGCCTTCCCCTCATCCACCAGAAGAGTCACTTAAATCATAAAAGGAGATATCCCCTAGTGAAGTTTACAATTCAGCGATTATGAATATATGGAGAAAAAATGGAAGACATTGTTAGGGGAATGCTGTGTAGGAAGGAACCGTATCTTTCCAGCTACATGCAGTAAAACCATTGGAACAGCAGAGTTTCCACAAATCATTTTATTAGTGAGCTCCCCTACCCAAAACATGGAATCAGGTAAAAACTGAAACAAACAGGGGGCTGAAGAAAAATAGCCTTGAATTACATAATCGTTTATTTAAAAAGCTATGATTTCTGTTCATTTAAAAACTACAAATGCACGGATATCAGGCTTGTGAATCTATTTCCCTCTCTGTAGGAGATTTTAAAGAAACAGAATAAACATTAAAATAAATTCAGAGTCATTAAGTATACCAATAAATAGCAGCTTGCTATAGAGTTAATCTTCATATAAAAGAAAAAAATAGTCTTTCTTGAACATAAAAGGCCCTATTTATTATGGCAAATTGTGTGGAAAAAACAGACAGGGGAATCTTCATAGCATCTCCACTGAGTGAAAAGAACAACATGTGAGAAAGTAAGGGTTTGAGAAAGTAATCATCCAGATGCTCCAGCCACAGAAATTTTTCATTTGGAGTTCACTTTTTATTTCTGTACAAATTCAATAGAATACACAAGTGTTACTGCTCCCCTGCCATATGTCAGCAGAATTGCAATTCACAGAATTTAGGAGGATGACATTGATTTTTAATGATACCTGACAATATTATTAACAAAGAGTAGTACCAAAAATGTGAGTGATTTAGATCTGGCACATCACAACCAGACATAATTTTGTGATCTGAAACGACAGGTACATGTTGGTAATCGATCAGAAGACCCCCATTTAGCTGGCAATACAAAACCTATTACATATATGTCTTGTTAATGTGAGCATAAATGCTCACTAATACTACAACTGAAAAAGCAAGAAACTGTAGGGAATGAAAATAAATGTAAGGGGCTTCCCCACCAAGCATGCAGACAGACCAAAACCCTTGCAGCAGCAATGATGCCCATCTTGCTCCATAGCAAGCCAAGTCCAGTCCAGTAACACTGCAGGAAATGGTTCGCTCTCTGGGGGTGAAGGGGTATTTTAAATTGTTTCATATTTCATGCAAAGAGAAAAACATATATTAGTTTTGGCATATATAGAATCTCATAATATATTACTATGCATGCTCTTCATTTTTTTCAAACAAAGGTAAATGATCATCTGAGAACTTCAAGATGGTAAGACAAAGTAGTCATAAAGATGACTTAATTCAACATCTCCGATAAGATATTGTGAAGCATTTATCACAGAAAAATAATCTTAATGCCCAGTAAGTTTTATCATAGGGACCTCTTCCACAAAAACAACGTTGTACTTTCTCCCTGATCTAACATTGTTCTTTATTCTATGTTGTTAAGTACTAGTGCTGATCTACCATCATTGATGACAATTTCTTAGGATTAATTCTCTTTATAAGATCCCAGATAGCGTACAGTCCCATTTTCCCAAGGACTGTTTTCCCATACAGCAGATGTCAGATTGACTTTTTCTCTTAAAAATTTGCTCTAGGCTCCTTTTCCCTCAGCTAATAAGACATAAGTTGTTTTGAATGTAATTAGACCAGCATAAATACCTTTGCTGATTTTTTTCCATGTGAAGTGTCATGCATCTGTATGTCAGAAGACATTCTATGCTGATAAATCTACAGCAACAAAAGACTACTATGACTGCCATGAAGAAAAGTTTACCACAATTAATTTAGTAGAAGAGTATTAGAGTAGAAGAACATCATATTAGTTGGTCAGTCAATTTTAAATGCAATTTGCATCTGGCTTTTTATGTCTCCTCTGAAATTGCAGTATCTTAACTGAGGATGATTCCTAAAGTGACAATTATCATATACACGTAACGAAAATATTAAAACTGTTAATGTTAAATGTTAAAAGAAAATTTCCTGCCTCTTAATGAACAGTCTCACCTAGAGTACCTGGATAGCTCTCCTGACATTCAGCTATCTGGATTCATATCACAGTTCAGAAGCACTTGCAAAGCAACTTAATAGACAAACTAAATTAGACACTTTGTTTAGACAAAAACTTTGACATTGAAAGTACATATTCACTAATATTGATCCCTAGTAGCTCATGAGGCTTCTTTCTTTGGAACACAACAAAACATGCATTCAAGCTTCTTGACATCAACAAAAAAAAAGTCAACATTTTTAAAAGTTCTTGAAAAACAGCCCAAAACGATGCTTAGTTCATCTTTTAAAAAACAACTAGCTAACATGGGTCAGAAAATAAAAGATCATGAACCAAGACTTCACTGCAGATGACATGGACAAAAACTCATCGCCTGTCACACATCCTACACTCTTCTGCATACAAGCAAGCAGGGCATTACACAAAGTAGGAGCTAGAAGACAGTATGTTTGAATTCATCAGAGACAATAATATGCTCAATAATAAGTTCAATGCCTTCTATGAACTTAGCCATCATGGAACTGATGAAATA